TGGGAAGAGCCAAGCAGACAGCCCCTCCCCTTCTCCGAGATATGGCCCAGGCCTGGTGGCTGATAGCAGCCCTGCCTTCTCCTCCTATCCTGGCTCTGGGCTCCCCTGCTCGTGCCAGATAAGAGGTTTATCAGCTGGAGGCAGCAGAGGAGGAATGGTCTCTGGGGACACTGGACCTCTCTGTCCTATGTCCCTGCAGGGTCATCTCAGCCATATCCCAACCCACACAGCCAGGCTTCCAGGGTTCCTAAAGGGACAATCATAGCAGAGACCTATTAAGAACTACCAAGAACTGCACTGATGTTTTCACTATCGTTACTAGTTTATGAGATTGATTTTCACCAAGATCCTATAATGTCCATTCAGAGAGTGACACCCAACCTGGGAAATAACAGGCTCAGGTCTGGAACATACTAGCTAACTCTGCTAGCCTGTACTGGCCTCTCAGACCCCTTCCCATCCCACTCTTGTGTGTCCATACTCCGGTCCTCTATTGGTGGTCTACATCCTATATTGGCCAGTCAGTTCTGTGGAATCTCTTTTCTCCTCTTCTGGGGAATAGCCTTTAGAGCCTTACATACACACTCCCCTTCACACACACCCCCCACCCCCCGCTTTCTTTGATGTGGGCTCTAGCTGCTGGTCAGCCACAAAGCAGCAGTGTGAGGTTGGGCAAGGCCATCGCACTACTCTGAGCTTCTGTTTCCTCATTTATAAAACCAGGGAGTTGGATAAATTGAACTCAGAGGTCCCTTTCTGCATGGGCAGCTTAACATTCTCAACAAACCCTCACCCCTGCCTTCATCTTCCTCTTTATCTGCCCCTCTCCTCATCCTACCTCCCTATTCCCAACACCCATCTCCCTGCATCTGTTCTCTCTGCCTTTGGCAAGAGATTCCAAGTATATTTTGCAGGGGCCTCCCAATATCTTAGGGCCAGACCCAGCACCCTACCCCTGCCATATAAGTAAAGGCAGGCAGGCTAGGGGGTGGGAGAAACTTCTGAAAGGACAGAGGACTGGATGACTTCAAATTACATGACCTTAGATCATCACAAAGATGGCCTATCACAGCTATCTAATATGGAATTCACTCTGACTTACCCCAAATTAGCAAGAATTACAAATTATCCTTTTAAAGCTGGATCTACCCTAGCCCTTGCCCCCACCTCTTTGTTACAGTGCTATCCCCAGAGCTGGGAGCTGGTGTAGGCACAGGCCCTTGGCCAGTGGGCAAAGTGGGTGGGGTGTTTATGTCTGTCCAGGATGCCATTTCAACACCGGAACCCCACCCTCCCCCACCCAGGTTCTGGAGGAAATTGCCCAAAGGCAAAGTGAATGGAGAAGGGGTTTAGGGGTTTAGGGGGCAGGGACAATGCTTCTTGCCTCATAGTCCTTCACATCCCCCTCT